TGATAGGCCAGACATCATATATTATATATAAAAAAGACATGTAACGAACTAAAAACGTTACAATACGCTGATGACTGCAATCTAGTTGCAAAAACGCTACACCAATTACAAGAATACCTGGGCATACGAGGCTATGGGCTTTAAGCTGAACTGAAATCATGTGCACTCCTCCGGAAAATCGTAACAATGCTATAAAAATCGGAGAAGAACTATTGGAATATATGTAGCGGAATTAAATTAACTCGGCAGTTTGGTTTCGGAAAAGGCCAATATCGACTCTGAAATTTAGCACAGAATTAGCAGCGCCTCAAGAGCATTCTGGAAATTAAAAGACAGGGTTTTCTACAATCATGACTTGAGCACAAAAACGAAACTTGCAGTGTACCGAGCACAGTTAGCCTGGGCCAAGATGTCATGAAAAAAAAATATAAACTTTGAGTACTTTATTTTTTAAATGCCGATACTACTGGCTTCAAAAAAATATAAAAATTAAAATCGCCGACGTACAATTGTGGTCTCTACACAAATTTAAAAAAAACTTTTTCAAACAAAGTAAAAAGCGCGCAAAAAGTTTTGTTAATAATAAATAACGACCATCATCACCAAAAGGTATGCTTACTGTTGCCCCCCTCCCTGTTTTTAAATCCAGGAGGTTGGGTCTCTGAACAAATTTAAATAAAAATAGACTTTAATCTGATGGAAAAAGCAAAAAAATATTTTTTTTCTAATATTTTAGTGATAAAATTTTACTTTATGATTATACGTATTATTAAACAAGTAAAACTACAAACTAACAATTAAGGAAGTACAATTAATAACTTTAACACACACTGAATTCAGTCTAAAAAGGAAGAAAACAATTAGATACTAGCTATAAGGAAATAAATAAATTTTAAACATGGTTACTGTTGTAGGAAGCAACAATCCTAAGGAGATTTTTTTGACCAATTTGCCTGCCTGGCATGGTGGAAATAAAATTTGTTTAAAAAACGTGAACTTACTGATGATTTCCATTTAAAACTGGGCATAGACAGTGGAGGTGGATCTTTAAAAATTTGTCTGTCTTTATGTTGTTACGAAAATCCCGACATAAAACAAGAAACACATAAAAGTACCGGAATAAACAAACTTATTATAATAGGATTGGCTCCCAAAATAATAGAAACCTACACAAATATCAGAGCAATGTTTGAGATTTTGCAACTCCATACTATTTGTGGAGTCAGTTCTTACACATTTGTCGCAGATCTAAAGTTGATAATGATTATATTGGGCCTTCAATCTTCATCATCGTGCCATCCATGTGCCTGGAGTGATGTTAACTCAAAAAATTTACAGTCAAGGGGAGAACTAAGATCCATAAAAGATATTTCCAAATGGAGTACATTATGGAACGAGGAGACAGGTCGAAATTCAAAAGAAACAAAAAAGTACAGTAAGTGTACTGCTAAGTTTACTTTATTGACTTTTTTAATAGTTATTTTTTGCAAATTTTAATTAAAATTTTTAGAAAATTGTGTCAACATTCCTTTAATAACAGGTGATGACGATCTTCTAATTATCAACTATATATTTATTTAGATGGGAGTTGTACAAAAAATATACAATTCTCTAAAAAAGGACTTTCCGGAAATTGCTGAAAGCTGGCTAAGAAGTTCTGGGATACAATTAGGCCATTACAGCAGATTTAATGAAAATAATTCCAGAAACTTGCTTAAAAAAGTTGACGTCCTTAAAGCACTGGATCCTTGTACTTACTTTGTAACATAACTTTATTTTATTATTGTTATTTGGACACTAAGCTCTTTGCTTATTTTTTTTAGACAACAAATACATAGAGGTATTTTGTGCCTTCAATGATGTGGTAGCCAGCTGTTTTGGAAAATATATTGATACCAATTACGAAACCTATATACTGAAATTTTCCGACAAAATAAGAGATACGAAAATCAGTTTTACTCCAAAAATTTATGCTGTTGTTCACCATATATTGGATTTTGTTAGTATTTCACAGAAAGCATTGGGCTTTTACTCTGAGCAAGCCTCAGAGCAGGTGCATCATTCCTATAAGTTGTTCTCAAAAAACTTTAATTCAAATCCGAGATCAAAAAACTATCAAAAAAATCTCCTTAGGAGTGTTGCTTCCTACAACAGTAACCATGTTTAAAATTTATTTATTTACTTATAGCTAGTACCTAATTGTTTTCTTCCTTTTTAGTCTAAATTCAGTGTGTGTTAAAGTTATTAATTGTACTTCTTTAATTGTTAGTTTGTAGTTTTACTTGTTTACTAATACTTATGATCATAAAGTAAAATTATCACTAAAATATTAGAAAAAAAATATTTTATGCTTTTTTCCATTAGATTAAAGTCTATTTTTATTTAAATTTGTTCAGAGACCCAACCTCCTGATTTAGAAACAGGGGCGGGGGCAGCAGTAAGCATACCTTTTGGTGATTATGGTCGTTATTTATTATTAACAAAACTTTTGCGCGCTTTTTTACTTTGGTTGAAAAGTTTTTTAAATTTGTGTAGAGACCCCAATTGTACGTCGGCGATTTTAATTTTTATATTTTTTTGAAGCCAGTGATATCGGCATTTAAAAAATAAAGTACTCAAAGTTTATATATTTTTTTTCTTGACATCTTGGTCCAGGCTAACTGTGCCGAGTAATAATAATCCCCACCATTTTATATGTAAGCGAAACCTAAGTGCCGTAGTTGCAACAGAGCCAATTAGACAATTCTTAAGAATCAACCACCATGTGTCAAACGTATTGGTCCTTGAAAAAGCTAACTGCGAGAGTATTGAAGCCATGATTACAAAATCCCGCTTAAGATGGGCTGGTCACTTATTCAGAATGCAAGAAAACCGCATACTAGAATCTCTGCTTTACGGTGAGGCAACAAAGTAACGAGATTTTTGAATCTCCGGAGTGCGGAAGAGAAATAACATCGTGTATCGGGCTTTTCAGTCACAGAAAAGCTCATGAAAAAAAAATGCTTTGCGTAACCATTTTCGAATGCGTGTCAAATACTCGTCAGCGAGTAATGGCAGTAGTAGTAGTAGCATTTTTAAACTATGCCTCTGTATTATAACAAATACAGGTTTAAATAAAGCCAGCACCAAATTAGCCCATCCCTAGCGATCGTGTTTGAATATTCCTGATGACTAGGGCAGTCTGTTTGTCGAAACGGCACGTCCATTAACGGATGGTGTCCCCAAAGACGAAGGGGACACGAAGGGGGAAGTGTCTAACCAAATAGGGAGCGAGGGGGCTCGCAAAATAAATATTTAACAGTGGGGAGCAGGAGTTAAGTGGATAATGAGCCATTTGCAAATTTGTCGGACGACACCAGGTTTGTTTGGTTTTGTTTTCTTGCAAAATTGGCTTAAAACATTCCCGAGACATACGAGAATTAAGTTTTACTGATGTAGCAGCTCATTTACAAATTTTGTAGCTAATATAATGAAACAATATCAAAAAAAATCAATCTTATATTCAAACTAACTACTGTAAACTGGGGTACATTCCTCATATTTTCACATTGTATAATGTATGGGGGTTTGTCATTACTACATGCTGTAAAGGGTAACTAACATTTCAAAAACTCAACTACAAATAGGTGTATTTTACGAATTCTGTAGGTATACTTTCTACTCTATAAACAGAACTGTAAAGTTCTATGAAAAACTAACTGTTATTTCGTTCATATTTTACGTAAAAAACGTTTTTTTAAATGACACTGAGAGTAAAAATATATTTGCTTCCTAGAAAAAAAATTTATCTTTACAGGCCAACTGTCTCAGAGTTTCCCTACGAATTGTTTAGTATGTATCCTAGCCTGAATATTATTTTGTACTAAAGTAGTTATTATAGTTAGCTGTAGAAGCTATTGTATGTGTGAATTGTAATTATTAAGGCTAGTGCTATGCAAAAGTACACCTAACGTCAGTAACAGGCGTTTATCATGGAATTACAAGAGATTAAAAGAGGAAACAAGGATATTTTTGATGGAGTTCTTGGGTACCCAAAATTAGGGTGCACATACAGTGGCCTTTTATTTAAGAATCATACATTCAAAATAATATATTACGAATAAAGAAGACACGCCAAGGAAATGGCGTCTAGGGCTTGACTTCGCCAAGATTATCACCGATTGCTAGTTGGTCCTCAGCCGTCTTTGACGCCGTTTTTTTTTCGATTATAGGTATTTTTACAAACATATAATTATAGAATTATATTTATTAATAATACGCTATTTTTATCCCGCAAAAAAATGTATTTATTTTATTTTCCTCCATTTTAATCAATCGCCCTGTATATTTTTTGCCTAAATTAATCCGAAAAACCGGGATTTTTTAGGAATATTAATTTCTATATCAGTTTTAAAAATATTCCACAAATTACATAACATCTGAATAAATTATTTATACAAATATTCTACTATAATAGTCTTTGATATTTAAGAACGCCCGAAAATTTTAAAAAAGTAATTAAAATTTGCATAACGGATCCAATAAAATTAGAAAATATCGATATATCTTCCATTTGATTAAAATTTTATATATAAACTACCTTGACATTTTTTATTATTGTCTTTTTATTTCTAAGTTATTAATAATTTCAGTTTAAAACATTTAAATCGATTTTTAAAAATGATCTTTGTTAATTCAAATTACATAAGATTAAAATATTTGAATTATTATTACTATTAAATGGATAGCCACCAACAAATACCATGAGACATTAAAGATTTGATTAGAGTTAAGAATGGTTTGAGTACCTTGTCTGCCTCCAATGATTCTAAAACCAGTGATTCTATACTTACAAAAAAACAGTGAAATTATTTTTCCAGATTTAATATTATGTAAATAAAAATTTTGTCAGTTTAGATATGGTGGCAAAATTTCAGTTCAAACATAACTACATTTATCGCTTATATTCTCGACAATGCACTTGATAAGGTTCAACACAATAAATTGACAAAAAATACAATGAAAAAGTCTTTATTCAAAAAAAAAGTCCAGTTACACACAATACTTTTTACAATTTAATGACTAGGAATTCAATTCTTCTTTTTTTGTTCCTTCTTAGGGGAAGAACGGTCGAATCTGAACACAGGGGCGCCACTGGTCAATGACTGACCCGACAGGCTAGCTTCGTTGACCAAGGTTGCAGGTTGAGCTGAGACTCCACCAGCTCCGAAAGCTGATGATGAGGATGAAGCGGATGACGCTGACAGGAACGATGCAGAAGAACCTTGGCTAGCACCAAAGGCTGAGGAAGCGTCACTTACCGAAGGTGTTACTGAACCTCCGTAACTTGAAGAAACACCACTTACTACAGGACTGGAAGAAAGACCTCCATAAGAAGAGTAACCGCCAGCATAAGGAGTGCTGGCTCCGGAGTATACACCTCCAAAAGAACCTGAAGCTGAGGGGCTACCAGAGTAAAATGAAGGAGCTACCGAAGACCCATAACCAGAAGTAGATCCTGACTGTTGGTTTACTACTCCATACGAAGGTACCTGAATAGTTCCTGAGCTAAGAGATTGGGAAGATACACCACCAACTGATGGAGATGCACTGTAGAAGCTTGGTTGAGATACACCAGAAAATCCTGAACTAAATCCAGCGTTATTCAATGATGAAACACCAACAGATGAAGCAGCATTTGACAGTGAAGCTAAGTTGGCGTTGTTAGAAGATAAAACACCTACAGATGGCTGAGAGACGCTGTAAAAGCTTGGTTGAGAGGCACCAACGAAACCTGCACCGACACCCAGAGAAGAGGCAGAGCTTGAAGCTGCTGCAGCTGCGGCTTGAGCGTTGTGAGAGTACAGGTTGTATCCACTAGCATAAGAAGCCAATGCTGGAGCTGATCCGTATACAGAAACTTTAGGTTGGACTACGACAGGGATTTGCTTCTCTACAGTTACTACTCTTTCGTAAGTAACTGGAACTGGAACTTTCTTCTCTACTGTCACAGGGTATGGGCGGTCTACATGAACTGGAACTTGTTTTGTGACAGTTACAGGTACGGGACGATCAATGTGAACTGCATAAGGAACTCTCCTTTCTACGGCATATGGTACTGGTTTTTCAACAACTTGAATCACCTTCTTTTCAACTGGTACAGGGTATGGACGGTCAATGTGTACTGGGTAAGGTACTCTGACTTGTACAGGCACTTGTTTCTCTACTGTTACAGGGTACGGACGGTTAACGTATACAGGGTATGGTACTTTCTTTTCTACATGTACTGGTACAGGCTTCTCTACTGGAACTGGGACGTTGTAAGGAACTGCTACGGGTACTTTCTTCTCGACAGTAACAAATACTGGACGTTCTACAGTGTAAGGTACTCTTTTTTCTACGGTGACTTGGTAGGGTTGAGGTACTGGAACTTGTACTGGTACTGGCCTTTCTACAGGTACTGCGACCTGTTGGGTGACAGTGACTGGGTATGGACGGTCAACAGAGTAAGGTACAGGAACCTTCTTTTCTACGGTAACAGGGTAAGGTCTGTCAACAGGTACAGGGACTGGCCTGTCAACTGATACAGGTACTTTCTTTTCTACAATGACAGGAACTGGACGGTCTACTTGTACGGTTACAGGAACTTGCTTTTCTACTGTCACGGGTACGGGGTGTGGTACGGGAACACTGACAGTTTTGGTTTGGACTTGTTGCTGGATTTGGGCAGGTTGGTGAACGCGTACCGAAGGTACTAAAGCTATAGCTGGAGACTGTACAACACCGATAACTTGGCCTTGACCGCTAACGACACCTACAGCCTTAGAAAGGTGCGAGGATGAGACTAAGCTGGAAGACTCTGCGGAAGCTTGACTTGCAGATGAGGCTAAACCGTTGAACGAAAATACTTGAGGGGCTCCTACTACTCCAGCGGAAGATCCAGAAAATTCAGAAACTCCCGATTGACTTCCAAAACCTGCACCGACAGCGTTTCCAGCATTGAAACTAGACAAGTCTGATGATCCTGATTGTCCAAAACCGCTGACAGCTCCAGAAACAGATCCGGCATTGAAACTGGACAAGTCTGAGACTCCGGATTGTCCAAAACCGGAGGCTACTCCAGAACCTGCATTGAAGCTGGACAAATCTGATACAGCTGACTGTCCGAAGTTGCTAGCACCTCCAGAAACTGCTCCAGCATTGAAGCTTGACAAATCTGCTGCTCCTGCCTGTCCAAAACTGGAACCTACTCCAGAACTAGATGCTCCAGCATTAAAACTGGACAAATCTGAAGCTCCGGACTGTCTAAAGTTGCTGGCACCTCCAGAAACTGCTCCAGTATTGAAACTGGACAAATCAGAGGCTCCTGCCTGTCCAAAACCGGAAGCTACTCCAGAACCAACTGATCCAGCATTAAAACTGGACAAATCTGAGACTCCGGATTGTCCAAAAGATCCAGATCCAGCTCCAGCGGCATTGTAGCTGGTTGCTCCAGATTGACCGAAGCCGGCGGATAATCCGTACGATCCAGAAGCTGCGTTTGCGAAACTGGCTGATCCAGACTGGGCAAAACCGTTGCCTAGGGAGTTGTATCCGTAAGCTGAGTCTCCTCCAAGGATGCTACGTTTGTTCTGGTCTTTGGAGGACTTCTTCAGCGGTTTCTCGGCGGCTAAGGCTGCCGACAAGCAAATAACAAGCAGAAACGCCTGCAAAACAAAAAGGAAATTAAATGAATTTTCAAAATATATTTTAGAACATTAGAACTATGTTAAAGATTCATTTTTATTTGGAACAAATATATTTTATGTTAAAAGATTTACTATAAAATCAGAAAATGTTACAAAGTATTTCCAACACTTACAGAAATCAACCTAATGCCAGACTTCAAATTTCAAAATGATTAAAATAGTCAAAAATTACTGAATGTGCAAAAGCTGATAGTTGTTAAAGTAAACTTAGATTTTTTTATTAAACTAGTTAGAAATCGCCCACTAAAGAGAGTATAAAAAGGAAAATATGGAAGAAATACAATAAACTTAAAAGAAACTAAAGAAATATTTACAAAAAAATCTTTTGAAAATTAAAAAATATAGGAGATCAATATTATCGAAAAATAATAACAAGTTTAGAAAATTAATGTAACAAGACTTTCTATTTTGTTTATTTTTATTAATTTAAATATTAAATAAATATTTATTATTAATTAAATATTTTATTTAAATAATATATATTTCACATATATTTTTACTTCTATACAATTTCTTAATAATATTAATCCTTTTTTTACCCCTTACTTAAATATATCAAACATATACTTCTTCAGTCTTATAAATTTATATTAATATGAATCTTTGTACCATACTAAAAAACGGCGTCAGAGTTGGCTTTGAAAAAAAGATTGCTGTAATTTTATATGCAAAATTATATGAAAATATGTCATTTCAAAGCCAACATGACGTCTATTTTTATTTTTTTTTTCAAAAATATTTAAATAAAATTTTTATTTAGTTCCTGATAATAGAAACAAGTAAATAATAGAAATAATAAAATAAATAAATAAGAAACCAATTAACATAAAAAATATATAGGATGTGTCAGTTTTTGAAACAGTCTTAAATAAATAACAAAATTTAATTAAAAACAGTAATTATTAATAGTAATGTATGTAATTATTAATAAATCAGAATAAATCACTTAATATTAAAATAAAAAATAGAAAAGCACTTAAAATACCATAAAAAATATATTGTTAAAAAAGAAAACAAAAGCACAAAAAAAGATGCAAAAAGGAATGAAAGCCTAGTGAATAAAATAGTTAATTACAAAAATAACAATTAACTCTGCTAAAAGTCCACACTCAGTTAACAATGTTATAATAATACTAAGTAAAGATTAAAATATAATAAAAAAATAAGTACATAATAAAATTGCATCACAAAAAAAAGAGAAAAATTGAAAGGTATTTAATCAAAGTAAGTAAATATACCTGTAATAAAAAAAATAAAGTCAGAGGGTGAAATCCTACAGAAAAAATCAGAAATTTTGTTTTTAATTTTCAAGAAAATATTAATTTTAAAAATTGATAAAAGAAAAAAAGTAGAAAAGTAGTTTAATACTATTAAATTAAACCAAAAGTTACAAAAACTATTTCCCAAATATTTAAGAAAATAAACATTGCAAAAATAATAAAATTTGTTTAAGTTTAATGCAGATAAACGCGGAATAAAAATTATGCACTTCAAAAAATATCTAATAATAAAACAAAGAAAAATTATGAATCAAAAATAATAAAAATAAAAACAAAACTTACACAAGCCTTCATGTTGTGCCCCTGTATCGACCTGACCACAAACTGATGATCTCTTCAGGATCTAGTGGTCTTTTATAATAGTTCTAGAAAAACTGGTCTATCGGGTACCATCACCGTGATTTATATAGGTCTGCGAATTTTTGGCGCTTTTTGGGGGAGATTAGCAAAAATTCGTCTAGCTGAATCTAAATTAGGTCTGACCATGTAGTTGTTTTCGTTTTTTATTCTCAACTTTTTAGTCTATTCTGCTTCTGTATTTTTTGGTGTTTTAGCACACAGAACGGAAGTTTGTGAGATAATATATAATTCTCTACAAGCTTTCTGTACATATAGAAATATGTTTTCGCTAGTATTGTAGATAAAATATAACCTTGCCAATTTCTAATATAAAACAATATACAGGGTGAGTCTTAAATAAGTGCAAATATTCTACACAACACGTCTATGATTTTTTTTTTCATGAAAATTTTTTTAAAGTTTTTTTTTGTTATAAAACATGATATATCTTGATAATATTGCAACATTAAAAAAAGTAAATTTACGAGAAAGAAAACAAAAATCTCCAAGGCTAATCTGACATATGTCAAAAATCACACTCTATATTTATTTTTACAGGGTGTTTCAAAAAACACGTGGCATCTCTCGTGGGCAGATTCCTCACGTAAAAATAAGATTTATTTTTCATATCAACATAGCTCCGATCAATGATCGGATTTTTCGAAACACCCTGTATACATTTGGTTTGGTTTGGTATATTTTCAAATAAAATCGTCTATTTTTAAATAAAATATACGTGTTTAAGCGTTTTTTCGGGAACTTTACCGTTTTTTAAATAAAAAATATTTGAGGGGTGGTTTCACCCTCTTGGAACTGGAATTTCGAAAAATCCCTTCTTATCGAACCTCTACACGCTAGAATCAAGCTGTATGCCAAATTTGAGCTTCTTACATTGAGTGGTTTGAGCAGTATCGTGATTAATCAGTATGTCAGTCACTTAAGGATTTTATATATTAGTATAGATTTTTATTTTATTGTGATTAATATAATGCAGTGGCGCACGTGTGTTTTTTTAAAAAATATTCCAGTGATAACCCATATGCACGTCTCTGATGAATTTATCGATATTTTTTTAGTATTAAAATATGTAGCAAACCTCAAAATTTCATTCGAACCATTCAAAGTACTTGGAAGAAAATTATAATAAGTCGGAAGATTATTAAGACTTTTAACACCCTGTAGCTATGAAACAAAGCAGAATTAGACCTACCTTGATATGAAAAATAAATGTTATTTTTACGTGAGGAATCTCCCCACGAGAGATGGCACATGTTTTTCAAACACCCTGTATACAATATGTTAAAAAAATTATAACTTGCTTCTTGTTTTAATTAATTTGAAGAAACTTGCAGGTTTTACTTTATTTTACCATATTATTTGTATTTAAAGAAAATACTAAGAAATGTTAAAAACCGAGATTTATTTTGAATATGTCATTCACAAGATGTAATTATGAATAGATAACCAGGATGTAACTACTACAGTTTATAATCACTTAATTTCTTGAATATCCGGTATCTTTAAACTCTATAGGCGTCCGCCTGGGGATTTTCAGTTCATAAAATTAATTAAAATAAATTTTCAGTGATGTAACAGCAATCAGGCATCGTTTTTCAATTATTTGGAATTATAGTCTGAGCTAATATAGGAACGGGTTTCGATAAACATATTAACATAATGCTAAGGACGAAAATTTTATCTCTTCTTGTGTATCTTCTTCTGTCCTTTTTATAAACTGGTCATAAATTAAAATATGTGCAGAATTCAAGACATTTGGGTGAGATATATTTAAAAATAAACATGTTGGTATTTAAAAAACTGCTTTTTGATATTAAAAATGTGTTTTCAACTAATATGTTTCTCAAAGATTTTGCAAATTAGGAAACATTTATTTGGCTAGACACTCATGCCAGTATTCTAATGCACTAATTTTTTAAACCATAATAAAATCATCAATATAAATACCCATGGGTTGAATTTTAGATAGGGACATATATAGGGACATATATTTAGATAGGGACATAGGCACCAGGTTGAATTTTAGATAGGGAATTATTATATTTTTTGACTATGTGAAAAACAACTGATTCTTGAATGGCTCCCCTATCAAAGATCTTTCTTAATTTAAGTAAGATCAATCTTCAGGTTTTTTAACAGGAGACTGCCTCCTCAATAAACACTTCAGTAGAATGAAGCTAAGAAACAACGCAGAATACAGATAACAATAATAGCTCCCGTATATAGCGTTTAACGCCTTGGGAGTAGCAAGGTACAGCTTGCCATACTAGAGCCGTTCGGTATACAAGGAAGGTAATGTGGCTAGCACTACCCAAGTAGCATTTGGACGTTATCTAACGTCGGGTATACGTCGCGTCCAATAAACACGACGTCGGGTACCAACGTCGGTTCGACCGCCTGACGACCCTTATTTGCACCTAAATGGGGAATACAGATTCGGGTCGCCTCGACGTCGGTATCTCACCTAATAGGGAATGTAATTCTACCAATTACCAACGTTATATTACGTTGGATTTTAGTCACTTAAAGGTGCGTATTCATTATCCGCACGAACGAACGGAATGCGTTTCTGCTAGTGGTAGCGGACGAGGGACCGCATTGGATTTTAGTCACCTTAAAATTCGTCGCTAAGCACTTACGTTACGTTTGGTTTCATATTCGCTACCAAGAATACATAAAAACCTAACCAAACTACCTAATTACAAATGGATTCATAATCACTCCTCGAATAGAACTATAAGTGCCTACCTAATTTCATATTATAATAATTCTGAATCATTAATCCAGACATCAGTTTTGTCAACGGAAGTCACTTTTTTGATATATCTGATTAAAATACTCCGGAAAACAACGAGCGCCTTCAAAAGTAGGTAATGAGTAGGATTTATGAAATAAAAATATCTATAAAAAAGTAACTTGCAAAATATATTTTTTATTTTCTAGCTGGTTTAATCATAAAATTGTACTGTGGTTCCCCCCAAACTCAACCTTCTCAATATTATTCTACTAGAAATCGGAATGTGAATATAAATTTTAAAAACAAAAAATGATTTTAAAATGGCTGACAATCGGATACCTGTTAAGAATGGCGGATTTCTGTGTCCGACTTAATATGAACTACCAATATACCAATTCCGACCGGGTCTCCAACATTAGTCGTCTCACTCGACCGAAGTCATCAAACCGGACGACCGGCAATCGTATTATGACGTATATAATTCCAACGTACGCCACGTAACCTCACTTTGCGTATCAGTGATTTGTGGATGTGTGCAACTATATTTTAGTTATTGTTTTCTCTTTAAAACAATGGGCAGCTACTTTTTTAAGATAGTATATACAAAATTTAAAAGAATTGGAACCAGTACCTCACATGTGGGAGGAGGATGGGGTCTGCTGGTTTCCTAAGCTAAAAAATGAAATTAAGTTGCACCAGTGTAATGCAGTATCTCTTCCGGATAAAAAGCATTCGTGGGTGGAGGGAAGACATCACTACTACTATTATTATTTTGCAAAAGCCTCGACCTCTTTCTGTAAAATGTAGATGAATGTCTAAATGCCTTTTTAGTGTTTTTTTAGGCATAATAAAAAAATTAAGTTTGTTTACAAAAACTTTTTATTAGGTTATGTTCATGATGTTCATTAGGTTGCAAATGCTACTTAATGGGTTGTATTTAGAGATACGTAAATTAGGTTATAAATATGAACATAAAATACAACAAAATATAATTGGACGTTACTTTAGGGATTATCAGCGAGACGTATCCTATTCGGACAACGGGTAGACGTCGGGCTAGTTCAAGTATATGTACGTCGTGCAAGCCAACGTGGGAACGACGTTGGGAAATTAATAAAAATGGTACGTTGTTATTTTGTACGTCGATAGATCGTTGGATTTACCGACTCGGATCCAACGACGTCGCTTTTAATAGGAAAGCGACGTCACCGGTCGTATCACCAGCACCCGACCTAAATTTGCACAAAGTCTAACGTCGCTTCATGTCAGATTTAGTTCGAAGTCAGATAGATGCTACTTGGGTACGCTTCAACCGCCTATTATTACCTCAGGATTGTGAATCCCAAGTACTTATTTAAGGCTGAGTCGACCTAGGTACCCAAACTATTTTTATTTTAATAAAAATAGTCGGCTGATGAAATGCCGGGTGTGGGATTCGAACCCACTATCTTGAGATTGGTAGACGAGAGCTTGTACCTCTACGCCACCGGGCACCTTCCGCATTCGCTTCCTTTTTGTTTTCTTCCTTTCCTTTCTTATACAGGATTTCTCTAAAATGGGGAAACACCAAAATAACTAAGCTTTTGTCAAAGCTATAGAACTGTATGATGAACTCAAAAAATGAGACACATTATATCAATAACCATTTGATATATTTTTTAGATATTTCTTTGGTATACACATATTAATAAATAATAATAATTTAATTTACATAAATAAAAGATGACTTTAGACCCCCTACTAATAAACAGGTAAAAAAGAAGTCAAATTATAAAATCCGTAACAGAAAATTTATGATATTCTTTTACTATCGAATTCTTGTAGTAACGATCATCTCTATTTTAAACCTCTCTACTACAAATACATAATTTATCACCTGAAAGTATTTAAGAGTTCGTATAGTTTGGAATAATATTATTATAAATGACGTTAATGACATATGAGGCGTTCATTAAACGGAAAAGAAATGATTTTACATCATGGCGCTTCTCAAATTAAGGCTCAATTTAGGTCACTTTTTTTGAAAAGACATTAATAAAAATAGAATTAGAGTTGACGAGTTTCATCTATTAATTATTTCAAACGTCTCATTAAATGATAACATCAACTTAGTCTCTAAAAAGAGGTTGCTGAATTTTAGATAGAGAATTATTGTATATTTTGACTCAGTGGATTTACACTAAAATTATAGTTTTATGTATGTATCAAGGCAATTATAAGGGTGTTCAATACCGAAGGATGTTTTTTTCCTTTTCAAAACGTGTTCCGTTATATTTGTATTAACGCTGCTGGTAGGAACTTTGTTTGTTGCCAGGTTACTA